ATTTCACTGTAATTGGCTCTCTCTCTCTTTCTCCTCAGTACAAATCAGTCTGTTCCCTTGCCATTTAGAAATTTTCTTGATTCGATCATCACTGACCACTCTGCTCTCCTGCTGTCTATCAGACGAATAAGTTGATTCTCTGCTCTCAATTGTCTATGCTAGTAAGCTGTTATTCTCTGCTTTGGAGTGTTGATGCTGGGTTGCTAGTTTTCTAAATCACCTCACACACTTGAAGGAAGCAGCACCGATCATAAACACACAAACAAACTCACACACACACACACACACACACACACATAGTTGGTTTATCTGTTGTGATAGGCAAAGAGCCTATGTGCAAAGAAAGAAGGGAAATATGGATCATAAACGTTTAAGTGGAGGAGCTAGAAAAAAAATTCAGCATGAAAAGAAAAAAAAGGAATCAGTTTTACTTGAGAGTGTTCCAAATATCTCCAGCTTCTTCAGTACAAAGACATCTGCTGAAAGCAATTCTATAAATGCTACTGCAAATTCAGCTAAGGTTAGCAATGCACCTGAGCTAGCATGTAGCTCCCAAGATCCTGAGACCACTACAAGTGTAGACACTGAACCAAATGCTTCTGATGCTTATGATTCAACCAATTCAGCAGTAGCCAGTTGCTCGGATGAATGTGAGGTCACTGCACCTCTGGACAGCATAGAAAATGAGCTGAATCTTTCTTCAACACCATCTACAGTGACAACTCTATCTAGTGATCCCGCTAAATGGGCTGAGACCCTCACTGAGTCAATGAAGGAAGTTCTTATTCAAAGAGGTGCAAAATCATTTCACAACCGTCACAGCCATTATCCAGCTTCTGTGAGGAACAGTGGGCTAGGAGGCAAAACCCGATGCCTAAACAATGAACATTTTACTTCACACTTGCCCAATGGACAACGAGTACAAAGAGAGTGGCTGATGTACTCTCCCTCTACTGGTAATGTTTACTGCTTTGCATGCAAACTGTTTTCCCCAAAAACGCATTCTTTTGTGACAGGCTATTGTGATTGGAAACACTCAGAAAGATTTGGTGAACATGAGCGAAGTGCTGAGCACATAACCTGCATGCAAGCAGGCTTGAACCGCGCCAAAGGTGCCACAGTTGATGCAGACCTGTTCAAACAGTTTCAGGCAGAGAGCAGCTATTGGAGGCAGGTGTTACAAAGAGTTGTTGCAGTCATTAAATTCCTTGCAGAAAGGGGCCTTGCATTTAGGGGTAAAAATGAATCGTTAGGGTCTCCTCTCAATGGGAACTACCTTGGTATTCTGGAGGTCCTGGCTGAATTTGATCCCTTTCTAAAGGATCACATCAGAAAGTTTGGGCAGATGGGTCGAGGTAATACCTCATATCTGTCCTCCACCATTTGTGAGGAATTCATTGAATTGATGGGTGCAAAAACCAAACAGGCTATAGCAGAGGAACTGCAAGCAAGCAAATACTACTCTATCATTGTGGATTCAACCCCAGATTTATCTCATGTGGACCAATTGACATTCATATTCCGTTTTGTTAGCAAAGAGGGCAGTGTTGTTGGACGCTTTGTGGGTTTGGAGCCCATTACTAGCCATACAGGTGAAAGTTTGGCTAACTGTGTCATGTCTGTGTTGGAAAATCTAGGGTTAGAGCTGTCAAATTGCAGGGGGCAGGCTTATGATAATGCCAGCAACATGTCAGGGAGGTATAATGGGTTGCAGGCTCACTTAAAGAAAAGCAACCCATTAATACACTATATTCCATGTGCAGCTCACTCTTTGAATTTGGTGGGAGTCAACAGCATTGACAGATGTGGAAATGAAGTCTCTAAGTATTTTGACTTGATTCAGTCTATTTACAACTTCACAACTGCATCCACACACCGATGGGACAGGGTATTTGGCAATTCCAACATAGATCTCACACTTAAAGCTTTATCCAACACGCGTTGGAGTTGCCGTGCAGAATCTACCAAAGCACTGTGGCAGAACTACAGTAAAATAAAAGCAGCACTACAGGTTATTTCCACTGATGACACAGAGAAACGAGACACACGAACTGAAGCTGACAGTCTAGTGCGGAAGCTGGATTCACTTGAGATGGCCTTCATGGCAGGCTTTTGGGACACTGTTCTGTCCAGATTTCAGGCCACAAGTCTGCAACTTCAAAAAGCAGACATGGACCTTGGTACAGCAGTTAGATTGCTGGAATCTCTGCGCACCTTTGTTCTCTCCCAAAGAGATCTATTTGATCATTTTGAGCAGAAAGCCTTAAACATGTTGGGTGGCACCCCATCTTACAGGGCTGAACGGACGAGGAAACGTAAAAAGTTTGCTGATGAATCAGCATCCCCAGATGTTGTGCTTGAGGGAAGGCAACTGTTTCAAATAGAGACATTTATTGCCTCTATTGATCAACTGAGTTCAAGCCTTAATCACCGTCTGGAGGCCTACAAACATCTGAACAATTTGTTCAGTGTCCTTTTCTCTTTGGATACAGAGTCCAATGCTTCAGTCCTTCACAAGGCCAAGATTCTCACTGAATCATACCCATCTGACCTCAATGAAAGTCTTGGACAGGAGCTTATACAGTTCAAATCTTTTATACAGCTCAACAACACTGATGAGGAGAGGACCCCTTCAGGACTGCTCAAAACAATAATACATTTTGGACTACAGCCTACGTTTCCTAATACATACATTGCGCTACAGATTTTTCTCACTCTACCGGTCAGTAACTGTGAGGGAGAACGCTCATTCTCTCTTTTGTCAAGAGTAAAAAATGAGCTGCGCACAAGAATTACTCAGAAAAGATTAAATGCGTTATCTCTAATGGCAATTGAGAGTGAGCTGACAAGAGAGTTGGACTTCAATGATGTGGTGGATGATTTTGCAAAATTGAAAGCACGAAAGAAACCCCTTGCTTAAAGGTGCACTGTGTAAGATTTTTATGTTATTTCCAGAATTCACCCATTCACTAATGTTAGGCTACCTGTTTTCATGAATACTTACCACCACCATAAAATTCTAAGTATCCATTATGACTTGGAGAATTGCACTTTCGCCATTTCTGGGAAGTGTCACCTGGATTGTGAAGATAGGATTGACTTTAGGCAGAAGCTTGGTGCTTTCTCTGGCAAACTGAACCTCAAGCTTCATTCTCTGCAGCTTTGCATTCTTGTGCAGACTTTCATCCACAATGAACTTTTAAACTTCCCCACTATCGTGAAGGGGCCATCAAAAGATTTCAGTGTGTCCAGCATGTCTAGTCTCTTACTCTCCTTTCTTTGAGCCATCTCTTGTTTCTCATCTGCCCTACTCTCGAATTTTGCCTTCATCTATTTACTCCAGTTGAGTTCAACCTCCCTTTTTGCTTGTGCTGCTGCCTTGAAACCTCTGAAGCTCCTGGCACTTCTGTAAAATTATTGACCTATTGACTGCGTTCAGTGTGCCCAACTTCTTCAGTTTGTAGTCCACCTTGCCACATTGTCTCTCCATCCCAATGTTGTGCACAGGGGTGCCATCAATGTTACTAGCCTGTTCACTGACAGGGTCCATTGGGAAGGTCTCCTCATCCATCCTCTGCCTGGCCAGGACAGTCTTCAGATGGGGCAGCATGAGATCTGTCAGCTGCTTCACTTCATCCAAGTATTCGGCAGCCACGTCTGACACTGAGTTCAGGACATGTCCAGTGCCTGTCCAGCCACTAAAGCATTCTTGGAAATGGGCTATCTTGACCTGCATGCAGCCCTTGTACCATGAACTGGCCTACACCTTTCTTTGTGGTGCTCTCCGATGCATGTTATCATTTTACCTTTCTCCTTCTCCTCAAGCTTAACCACAAATAGATACAGACTTTGAGCCTCAATTTGCTGCACAGCTGCCGTTATGCCAAAGTGTTTTCCTAAGATATTATTTTATTTTTAATGATAGAAGGGAGGAAAAGGGGGCAAAAATCATGTCCGATTTAGTTTTTTGGGTGGGGTGGGGGGTTTATTTCATGATAGCTACCAACTTCCAATACATAATATCTCTCAAATGACCCAATGCACCATCACTGAAGTGGGCATAATCATTTTCCAAAATGTTTATTTTTAGGCCATTTATCCCCTCCCCCTGTGTCTGTGTGAAACCTGTGCTTGTCAGTGTCTGTGTGGTATACCTAATAGTGTGTGTGCAGTATGTGCACTCTTCTGTACAGGACAGTGTGCATGTCTGTTCACAGTATACAGTATTTCTTGCATAGTGGGTGCGTGTGTGTGCGCCCGCACGCGCGGGGGGTTGAGGGGCCAAGACCATGTCAGGCCCAGGGGGCCAAAATTTCTTAATCCGCCCCTGGCTATAGGTGTAGATCACTATATAATGCAACATTTACTGCTTAGCAGAGGTCTTCACTCTCTGGGTGAATTTCTAGTTATCTCGTTTTTATTAATAGTTTAAAATTTGTTTATTCCGTAAATAAATTGTAGATTTTCTATGTTCGTGTTCTTTATAGATTTCATAAGCAACAAACTAGTTTAAAACTTTTATCGAAAAACATGAGTTTTTGTAGAAACAGCAGCGTTTCCATTTAGAGAATAGATTTTTGACACGGTGTGAACCTGGCATTAGGTGCACAAAGCTGCATCATCACAGATTCTTCCTCCCAACAGCTGTTAGACTTTATAATCATCTCTGTTCCTAACGCACTGCTGTTTTTTTATATTTGTAAAAATTCTGTTATTTCATGCAGTAATTCATACATTTGTTTGTTTGTTAGATTTTCTGTTTCTCAGTTGCACTGGCTGTTTTTAACATCTTCTGTTGTACATTTTCCCTTGAGGTTTTTTTCCATTTGCCTTTCATTCTCAATTTCCCATCTTAGTGGCGGTAATGGATTAAGCTTTCTCTCCTGTTCTCAGCCCTGTGGCGATGTCTCCTTTTATTTGTCCCAGTGTTATATATGTGAACTCTCCAGCCTTGCTAAACAGATTTTCTAGACTGACTCTCTTTCCCCTCACCCACCTAACAGGCCCCCCCATGCCTTGGAGGGAAAATGGAGTGAATGTCCTGACTACAGCAGGGAGAGGACAGACGAGTGCTTCTTTAACAAGACACACACCACCGTCTGGACGTCTTACACGGTGCAGCTGCGCTCCAGGGACCAAGCTGTCCTGTATGATGAGATCTCCTTCTCTGTCAACGACATTGGTGCGTTAACAGCCACAGAAACATGTCACGAACGTCCCACTCCATTTTTTTTTCTATTGAAAGGAGTAACTGCACACTTTGTTTTTCATTCCATCAGAGTTAGATCTTAAACCTGTTAGAGGGGGGAAGAATCAGAGGCTATGTTCACAATGGAGGCCTTAATGATCAGCTCAGATTTTTTTGTGAAATCCGATTTTTTTTTTGCGTTGCCGTTCACATTTCCAAATATATGCGACTTGTATGTGATCTCCTGTGTGAACTGCATTCATACAACGCAAGTGCGCATGCGCAGTAGAGGTCGCAATGACATCACAAACCAGCATGTTTAACGTGGTAAACATCGATGGTAGTGCCGTAGTAGCCTCGTCAGACCATCCTGATCTCGCGAGCTTTCAAGGTTTCACTCGCAGATCAGTCTGGAGACTCTCCGTTAAAGAAAATTTGGAGCCGTTCACCAAACGAACGTCCAATCAGTGTTGGCTTTGAGGCGAGTTGAGGTGTGACGCAACGAGAAGCGCGACAGTTCAGTCTAAAGAACATGGCGGCTTCAGCCAATTAAACTAGCGTTAGTGTGGCTATCGAGCAAGTTTGATCGGAATTACAGAGTATTTCTTCACTGAAAGAAGAGCAAAACACTGCTCTGGAGGCTTTTCTCAGAGGAAAAGATGTTTTTGCTCTTCTCCCGACTAGTTTCGGCAAGAGTTTGATCTATCAATTGGCTTGTGCCTGGCTTGTGGTTGTGTTTTCGTCATCACTCGTTAGTACGTCATTTGCTTCGTTGATCTGATTGGTTTATTTGGCCCGTCTATCACCAACATAGGCCAATCAGCTAACCAGTATTTTCTCCCCTTCCCAAAATTACTTCAACGGAAAGTTTCCAGATGGATATGTAGAGCAAATCCATCTGGCGGAGTCAGGTTAGTGCCGTAGCGCATCTAGCAATCTTTTCCAACCTTAAAAACTCAATCTTTTAAAGCTACAGTGTGTAATAATTACAGGGATATACAGTCAGAAATGTAATATATTATACATAGCTATGTTATTTATCATCATCTACGAGCTCAGCCTCTTAACCTTAATATTTGCGTTGCCTTAGAATTCGTTATTTATAATTACATAGGAGCGGGTCTCGCAGCCATGGAGGCTGACATCTTTGCGCTACGGCAGCGCAGAGCCAACAAACTAGCGATTGCGAGATCGCCAAAACGTCACAACGATGTAGAAAAAATAACGGGTATATTTATTATCTTAAGTCTACATGAAATCTATACCCTACACAGACTAATGAAATACTATCTGTAAAATTATCTATGTAAACAAACCTCATCACTTGAGAAGGTAGGTGATGCGGACGTCGTGGAAGACATTTTGTCCCGTAACGCTCGCCGTACTGTTCACTGCAAAAACAATCCAGAAATAAGTAAAAAATTGCTTAAATTAAGTATATTTAGCCTTAATTTGAGCAGGTAAATAAGATGATTTGCCAATGGAATGAGTATTTTCACTCTTAAAATAAGATAGTTAGATAATATTTACTTGAAATAAGAAGATACAATTGTTTTTTCTTATTTTAAAAGGAAATTGTCTTGTTCCATTGGCAAAGTGTCTTACTTACCTCCTCAAATCAAGGAAAAACACACTTATTTTAAGAAAAAATAACTTATTGAGATTTCTATTTTTTGCAGTGTTGGGGGGGAGAAGCGGTGGGGGAGAGATGTTGATGTTGCTGCAGTCTGCAGTCTGACCGCTAGATGTCGCTAAAAGTTACACACTGTAGCTTTAAAGTGGTAGGGAAATCATATTTAAATGTAAAAATCATTCTGGCTTAAAAATCGATATAAATGTTCTCTTTTGTTAAAAAAGTTAGAAAATTTCTATTCTCAAAAATATCCTGTCTTAAAATCTGTGTTTTTTTTTTGTTATTTCAGGCAGGCCAGTTAGTTATTTGTCAGCTTGTACACCTAAATTAGGCCAATCATATATCAACAATCATCCTTGATTGTTTTTTTTTTTTAATGCCCATGCATTTTGCATAAGTTAGGCTGTTGTTGGACATAAGTTCTGGACTCATTATGAATACTCTATGCATACGCCCAAAATTGGAAAAAAAAACATAGAAAGTTCAGCTTATGCTAGTGTTTTAGAAGATTCTGGGACGTCGGGCGTATGCTGGCTAAATCGGCAAGGTGTGACAGGTCCTAAGCAATTTTTCCTTTTGTGTCCATCACTGTGAGAGGTGAAAAGTAACCAATCACAGGTAGCTTATTTTGTCAGGTTGGTTCCACCCTCAAAATTACAAAAGTTGACATGAGCGCCCAGAAAAGGTCCATAGGCTAGTAGGAGAGAATCTATGGGAGCATAAAAAGCAAGAGAGCAGTGAAAAAGCTGGGACTCATGCTTATGGTATATTTAGGGCTTCATAAGAGTAGCTTACCTGCGTGTGTTTTAAATAAAACTGCTCATATGAGTATTTATTTTGCCCTACAAACAATTCTGACTTTATATATTTCCATTTGGACGAATGGACCACAACAATTTACATTTAAAATAAGAAAACACAAATGCATTGTCTTATTTCAAGTGCATTTTATCTAATTATCTTATTTTAAGAGTAAAAATACTCATTCCATTGGCAAACCATCTCATACACTGCAAAAACAATATAGAAATAGGCAAAAAAGTCTTAAATTAAGTGTATTTACCCTTAATTTGAGCAGGTAAATAAGATGATTTGCCAATGGAATGAGGTTTTTGCTCTTAAAATAAGATAATTAGATAATATGCATTTGGAATAAGACAACGTAATTTTTTTTTCTTATTTTAAAGGTATACTATGCAACCGGTGTTGATTTTCCAGCGAGGCTCCCCCCAGAGGGCAAAAGTAAAAGTGCACTGTCGTAAATATGCTCAGCTGTTCTCCTGGTTTCTCCGTCAAGCCAGGCGCGGTTGTTTTGAGCTTAGCAGACAGTATGAAACATGCACACAGAGAGAGAGAAACCATTCCAATGTTACTTACAATCGCATCAGCAGAAACGCGAAGTCCGCGTCAGCCTTGCAGCCTTCTTTTTCTTTTAGCTCTCGCCGTTCGGAAAAAGCTTGCCCGATGTTCACCCGTGTACGACTCCTCTCTCTGTCCGGAGCCCTTTTCCTCTTTCTTGCCTGCTCAGACATGGGCTTTCGCTGTTTTCTCGCTGGTTCCGCCATGATAACTGCACAAATATCGCCACTGAGCTATCAACGAGCATGCCTTTCACTGGGGGCGTGTAGCAGTTCTCATCGTAAAGCAAGACCGACTCTCACTATGCACTTCTGAGCCTGTGGGTGCGGGCCGAGGGCTCCTGCAATTGCAAGTAAGGTATTTCCCCTACAGACCACCAGGGCGGCCGAGAAAACCTTTGTTCGACCTGATATGACTCATTTAATCATCCAAAACGTTATGGAACACATTAATTAACTGGAAAATGTTGCATAGTGTGCCTTTAAATGTAAATTGTTCTGTTCCATGGCAAAGTTTCTCACTTTCCTCCTCAATTTAGGACAAAATGCACTTATTTAAAGAAAAAATTACTAATTTAGATTTCAATTTTTGCAGTGTACCTACTCAAAGGTGTACGTTCACTCACAATTTTTACTTATTTCTAGATTGTTTTTCCAGTGCGATTCCTCACTGCAAAAACAATCCAGAAAATAAATAAATATCTCTTAAATTTAGTGGATTTACCCTTAATTTGAGTAGGTAAATAAGATGATTTGCCAATAGAATGAGTATTTAAATCTTAGAATAAGATAATAAGTTAATATGCAATTGGCAAAGTGGCAAAGTGTCTCAATTCAATAGAAAATGCACTTATTTTAAGGGAAAATTACTTATTTATTACTAAAAAAATCTTGCACCAATTTATTGCCCTTAAAAAGATTAAGATTATTTCTTTGGTCTTAATCTGAGTTTTGGGGTCTTTGCTCTGCAGTGCAACCAGACCCTCCTGTGGGGCTGAACTGGACGCTGATGAACGTGAGCCTGACCAGCACCCACTTTGACATAATGGTGAGCTGGAAGCCTCCAGGGTCCGCCGACGTGGAGACGGGATGGATGGCGCTGCAGTATGAGGTCCAGCACCGCCAGGTCGGCTCTGAGCACTGGGAAGTGGTGGGTGTCTGCGTGAAATGCTCCCGTTGTGCTCAGGTGGAGAAACTCAGAATCCTTCAGCTCTGATTTGGTCTCTGCCTCTCAGACCGAAATGGTGAGAAGCACGCATCGCTCCCTGTTTGGGCTACAAACCAACGTCAACCATGAGGTCCGGGTTCGCTGCAAATCCTTTGGAGGGAATTGCTTTGGAGACTTCAGCGACTCTGTGTTTGTCAACATCCAGTCTAAAGGTAAACCTACTCTAGATAAGTAATTTTTTTCTTAAAATTAGTGCATTTGTTCTTGAATTGAGAAGGTAAAAGAGACATTTTGCCGATGAAACAAGACAATTTACATTTAAAATAAGAAAACACAATTGCATTGTCTAATTTAAAGTGCATTTTATCTAATTATCTCATTTTAAGAGTAAAAATACTCATTCCATTGGCAAACCATCTCACTTACCTACTCAAATTAGGGTGAAATACAATTAATTTAAGAAAATTATGCTTATTTCTAGATTGTTTTTCCAGTGCATTATTCCTCACTAGGGTTGGGAATTGAAAAGATTTTCACGATTCCGATTCCCTTTTCGATTCTATGAAACGATTCGATTCTTTATCGATTCTTTTTTCGATTCCAATTTGGGGGAAAAAGGAGAACAAACAGTTTGATTATCAGAATCAACTTTGTTTACTTAACTATTGCACAATCTTACAAAATCAACAAGATCAAGATGTCCACAGGAAATGTGAAACTGGAGTAACATCTGTGTTTAAATGAAAAATGAATACAAGAACAAACTTAATAACAAACAATGTCTAATAACAAATGATGGGATTATAACCTATTTTAAATAACAAAAAGTACTAATTATAAAACAGTAGTAGGGAAAATTAACAGTTCTTTTGCAGAAAGATGAGCATATCTGCTTTTTCTGGAAGGATACGGGATCTTTCAGGGCTTAAGGTGTCTCCAGCCGTGGAGAACACCCTCTCAGATGGGGTGGAGGAAGCCTGCACACAGAGGTAGTTTTCAGCCAGTCCAGATAGCAAGGGCAGCACATCTTGCTTGTTCCACCACCACAGTGTGGCGCTATCCCTGCAGGGGATGGAGGGCAAGCTTTTATAGAGCTGGATTTCCTGATCTACCCTCTGGGCTAAGGAAAGACGGGGCTTTGATTCACAAAGTGACCGCAGCTCGTTGTCTTCCTCCTCGAATAGTTCTTCCAACTTGCGTAACTTGCGTAAGTTGCGTAAGCTGCGTAACGTACGTAAAAAACGTGACGTAAGTCGTGCTCCCCAGAGCCGGCGCGCTAGGCTCTGTTGCTGCGGGAATCGAAAAAAGAATCGTTCAGCGAGCTGCCAAACGATGCCATGGAATCGAAAAATACGGAACCGGTTCTTAACAGGAACCGGTTTTCGATTCCCATCCCTATTCCTCACTTCAAAAACGATCCAGAAAATAAGTAAATATCTCTAAAATTTAGTGGATTTACCCTTAATTTGAGTAGGTAAATAAGATTATTTGCCAATAGAATATTAAGAGTATTTTAATCTTAAAATAAGATAATTAGATTATATGCACTCAAAGTAAGACAAAGTAATTGATTTTTGTTATTTTAAATGTAAATTGGTTTGTTCCAATGGCAAAGCGGCCAAGTGTCTAAATTCAATAGAAAATTGACTTTTTTTAAGGGAAAATTACTTATTTAGATTTCAATTTTTTGCTATACTGAAAGCCTTAATAACACCATGGCTTCAGAACGTTAACTTTTTTAAAATAAATTCATTTCTGTTTGTTGTTTTCTTCTGTCAACCAGCTTCCAGATTCCCAGTTATGGCCTTACTGATCTTCGGAGCTTTGTCTCTAGTAGCCATCCTGCTGCTGGTCATCATTTCACACCAAGAAAAGTTAGTATATCAGAATCAGAACATGTGTGTTGAACCGGGTAGGATTGATCCACTGACTGGTAATTTGTGAAGTGCAGCTTCATACCCTCAGCTTGACATTAAGCCTTTTTGTTTTGCTGCTTTCCCTCCAGGTTGATGTTTATCCTGCTGCCTCCTGTTCCTGGACCTAAGATACAAGGAATTGACCCATATCTACTGAAGGCGAGTTTCCACATGCTATGATTAAGCATTTTGTTTATGAAAGAGCAGCGATTTTCCTCCTGGAAAAATGCAGGAATCACCATGGTAATCAGTGGCTGTTTTAAATGAAGCCAACCTACTATGGTAGATTTTCCCACGGTCTGTGCTTTAGATCGGTGTTCAGCTCTCCTGGTTTACAGAATTCTGTCATGAACCAAGGACAGATGGACCCAGTATTCAAGGAGAGACAGTCAGTAGGAAAGTTCAAAAGGTTTATTTAAATAGAACAAAAGCTAAAGTGGAGCTGTGGCTCGCGGACACTGCAGGAGGGGGGCGGGGCACCGCCCAATCTCAGACACTCTAAGGGAGAAACACAGGTAAGTGACCACGATCATCTGACAGAAGATGACTATCTGAGTTGGCCACTTACCTGGTTTAACAGTCCAGTCCTAGAATGTCCCAGAGGACATGCTGGAAGCCGATCCTGGTCAGGGATCCAGAACAGACAGGGACAGGATCCAGATCAAGCAGGAACAGAAACAGGAGGCAGGATCCAAACTTCCAGGCATCCACAGGCTCCCACACTGCAAAAAATGGAAATCTAAATAAGTCATTTTTGCTCAAATTTAGTGCCTTTTTTCTTGAATTGAGGAGGTAAGTGTGACACTTTGCCGATGGAACGAGACAATTTACATTTAAAATAAGAACAAAAACTATAGTTTTGTCTTAATTCAAGCATATTTTAGCTAATGATCTTATTTTAGGAGTAAAAATACTAATTCCATTGGCAGTTCTTCTTATTTACCTGCTCAAATTAAGGGTAAATACACTTAATTCAAGACATTTTTCAGTTATTTCTAGATGTTTTTTGCAGTGCAGGAGGGTTCACCCCTTGCTCACACTGGCTCCGGTGCGGTTACCGAGCCGACGGAGACCGCAACTCCCGCACTCCCCCTAACACACCGCCCTTTTGACTACAGAGCGGTGCGGCTCTGCGGCTCCGGCAACAGGTCCGGAGATTTAACAGAAGTTCACTTGAGTTAACGTAACTTCACGCCATAACACGAGAGCTTGTTGCGGAGGGCTCCGGCACGCCGCAAGGATAGCTTTCTTGCTGAATTTTCTGCAGCGCCGGAGTGTCTCGGTAACCGCAGCCGGACAGCTCAGCAGCCGGTGAGAGAGGTTTACGTCTTTTTAATGAATTGGAATCACTGCGGCGCCGCACCCACCGCACCGCAACGGTAAGACCGGAGTCGGTGTGAGCCGGGGGTCAGAGTCTGACTGGGTCCGAAAGCGTGACCAGGTGGTCACGCACAGGAGCAGACAGGATCAGGTGTAGACAGGCAGGCTCAGTGGAAGAGGGTAGCCGAGACAGGACGTGGAACCAGAACTTGAAGCAGGACTTTAAACTGGTCTCCTTGGAGCCTGGCTTACTGGATAAAAACTGAACCTCCCCGCATATTGAGCCAAAAACCCAGAGGACTCAGCAGGGGAGGAACTGTGGACGATTAGGAGACGAGACAGACACAAAACCCTCTTTCCACTGGCTGCCAGGATCCAGGACAGGAACCATGAAATAAAAATAACAGACAGGCTAACAGAAAGACAATAAATGATCTGGCCCTGAATGCTCAGGCTGAACTGAATTTAAACAAGAGGAAACAGGTGAGAGGAATAAATTATAATTGAGGCAGGGAGGGAAAACGGCAGGTGAGAGGAATGACTAATTAAGGTGCAGCAAACAGGCCAGATCATGACAAATTCTGCTTTTTGCTGGAAGCCCATCCTCTGATTCTCATCCGAAATTCTGTGAACGGTTTGTTGGGAACCTCTTGTTGTCCCATCAGTTTCTAAACAACCTTGAAGACAGAAAGCTGCTCTTTGACAAAACGTTCTGAAGGCAGAAGTTTGATTGGAAGCTTTTATTTGGAACTTAAAGGTAGTGTGGAGGATTTTTTAAAAGACTCGCCCTCTCTACTTTAAAAAAAAATAAAGCACAAGCTCATTTCTCCTCGTACACGTCCTGTTTAAAATGTGCTGTTCTCATAGCTCATACAAACTTACTGTGTCCAAATACAGCAGGGACTATATAGTGGATTTTATAGCAAACTCAGTTAACTGACCGTTCGGAGAGATGATCACTGCTTTTTGCCCCGTTGGTCACGTAACTCCTCCTCCACTGCGCGGTGCCTGTACCATCTTTGTTATTAGTCGCCGCTGTCGAGTGGCAACGGTGGGTCGCTGTGACAGCAAATCCCACAGTGCTTTGCGAGGAGAACTCCCCGCACTGAGCTAAAAATGAGCAAAAATGTCTTAAATGAAGTGTATTTACTCTTAATTTGAGTAGATAAATGAGATGATTTGCCAATGGAATGAGTATTTTTACTCTTAAAATTAGATATTTGGATAAAATGCACTTGAAATAAGACAATGCAATTGTGTTTTCTTATTTTAAATGTAAATTGTCTTGTTCCATTAGCAAAGTGTCTCACTTACCTCAATTCAAGAACAAATGCACTGATTTTAAGAAAATATGACTCGTCTAGATTTCGATTTTTTTTCCAGTGTGCGTAAAACATTCCGGGATATACACTGCAAAAAAGGAAAATCTATACAAGTTTAATACACTGCAAAAAAAATCTAAATCTAGACTAGTCAGTTTTTTCTTAAAATAAGTGCATTTGTTCTTGCATTGAGGATGTAAAAGAGACATTCTGCCAATGGAATAAGACAATTTACACTTAAAATAAGAAAACACAATTATATTGTCTTATTTCAAGTGCATATTATCTAATTATCTTATTTTAGGAGTAAAATTACTCATTCCATTGGCAAACTATCTCATTTACCTTCTCAAATTAAGGGTGAATACACTTAATTTAGGAAAGTTTTACTTATTTCTAGATTGTTTTTGCAGTGTAAACTTGAATTCAGCATTTTGGTCTTATTACACTTGTTTTTCAATGTGTTTTCTTAGTAAGACTGAATATTGTTAAGATTATTGGACTCGTTTTAAGAAAATTCATTTTTTTCATCCTAACTAGATAATACAACTAATTCTGAGCAGCTTTTTTCTTGAAATATCACACATTGCGGACTGAGTCGCGTTAACATTTAGACTGTGAGTACATTTTTACTTGTTTCAAGACAATAAGACAATCCATATTAACCTGTTTTAAGAACTGACACCATCTCATTAAGATATTCCAGCTAATCAAATCTGATTGCATTAATTCTAGCTAAGAAAAACAGACTATTTTTAAGCCTTTAAATGAACTGGTATCAAGTACATTTGCCTTGTTTTTAAGCCTGTTGTATGCTTGTTTTGAGCAATAATTGGTTAGAGGACATTTAATTCTAAGCAATAATAACTAATAAATGAAAGAGAAAAAATCTTAACGAGTAAAAGAAAAAATGGATTTTTATACTTGATTTAAGTTTTTTTGGATGCTTACTTCTCGGATATTATGTTCTTGTTTTAAGAATTCTTACCAAGTCTCATTTGCTTGCTGCACTGGCAGATTATTTTGCTAAAAATAAGCAATAATTCACTTAAAACCCTATATTTTTTTCTTATTAAGGCATTTTTTGTTGTGTATTACACTCTAAAAAATGGAAATTTAAATAAGTCATTTTTTCTTAAGCTAAGTGCATTTGTTCTTGAATTGAGGAGGTAAGTGAGATATTTTGCCAATGGAACAAGACAATTTACATTTAAAATAAGAAAAAGCAACCACATTGTCTTATTTCAAGTGGATATTATCTAATAATCTTATTTTAAGAGTAAAAATACTCATTCCATTGGCAAATCATCCCATTTACCTACTAAAATGAAGGGTAAACATGCTTGATTTAAGACATTTTTACTCATTTCTAGACCATTTTTGCAGTGTTTGCCTCTTCTGATGCCTCACTATTTCTCTTATGACTCTCTGCCGTTTTTAAAGAACCGTGGTGAGAAAGGTGAGCTTCAATGACTGTCTGGAACCGTAGCTCACCACAGATATACGCCTGAAAGTGCACATTTGCAGAAAAAGATAGCTAACGGGACGAGCACGTTGGACCGCCTTAGGTAAACATATCACCAGAATGATTGACAATTAGGAGGACCACTTATGATGATCCACCCGGAAATAAAAGATCGTCCTCTATACCTTTAAACAGCTGCAAACTGATCTGATGAATAATTAAATCAAATTTTGGCTCCAGGTCGTTTTTTTTCTTTTTGATCCAAGCAACAGTTTCAGATTAGGGATAAATTGTTGAAGGCATTTAGAAGTGGGATTAAGGCAGGTTTTTCTGAAAACAACCCCATCTTCAGATTCTAACCATTTAGATTCCTATTTCTGCCATGCATAATTTGTCCTTGGTTATTATCATGTGTTGTTTTGTCTCATAAAGTCCCTTTAAAAAAAGTTAGGATTCGCTCTTTTCCCCCTTTTCCCATAATCCTATGGTTTCTGATCGGGATGCACGATATTGGGATTTTGGCCGATATCCGATATGCCGATGTTTTAAAACTCATGTAGCCGATAACCGATATCGATACCGATGTTAAAGCTGGACAAAAATTAGTAGTCATTGAAAATAGCAGTTTTGTTATCCATTTCCGACACTTTGAAAAATAATATACTCAAATATATTTTCATATGCTGATATCAAATAGATTTTTAAAAACGCGGTATCGATCTATTTTACTTTCAAAATCTCGTGAAATTTCATCGTTCTGTTACAAACTCTCGTGATATTTTGCAAATTCTTGTGAGATTTTGTTAGTAAAATAGATCGATACCGCATCAATATATCAACATATAAAAATATGGCAAAATTTCGTGAATTTTCTGGGGATTTCGTAGCATAACGATGACATATAGCAATATTTCATTAGTAAAAGAGATTGATATGGCGTTTTTAAATGGCAATATATCAGCATATGAAGATATTGTGATATTTTAATGTCTTTAAAAGTTTTTAAGTCTGTAAAAAAGAATTTTTTGAGGAAGAAGAAGAAGTAGTATTTTTTTATTTTTTTTAGACTTTAGAAACTCAGAAGCTGATCAAATATCGGGTTAAATATCGGTGGGGTGGCCGATGTCCGATATTCAGTTTTAAGGTCGATACCGATAAGGGGCCGATTATATCATGCATCCCTAGTTTCTGATTTGTGATCATAGGTAGAGAGCACAGTTTGAACTGCATCTCTGCTGGAAACACAGGAACCAGAATGTGTCTGGGACTCGGTTCTGAGAGATGGAGCGGATGGCATTGAGGTCTGAGCTGTGTCTCCTTTGTGTTTCAGAAAGGGAAACTTCGAGAACTCACATCCATCCTCAGCGGTCCCCCAGACCTGAGGCCGGAGCTCTACAACAGCGACCCCTGGGTGGAGTTCATCGACCTGGACATCGAGGATCACAGCAACAAAGTCATGGACGTGGACACGGTGCGTCTCATGGACCTGTCCCTTTCCTCGCACTGCTCTCCGCTCTCGGTCGGCTTCAGAGACGATGACTCGGGCCGCAGCAGCTGCTGCGAACCAGACCTTCTCAGCGAGTCAAACATGTCACCTGTCCATCCTCTCACCCCGAAGCCGTCCCAGACGAGCGCCGGTGAGCAGAGCTCTGGGTTTGTGGAGCCAGAGCCCAAAGAAGCGGCGTATACGCAGGTCGGCGAGGTCAGGTCCTATGGGAATGTGCTGCTGTCACCTGAGCAGCTCACAGTGGAGGACAAAAATCCCAGCAAGGAGAGCGGCGCGGTGGATGAGAGCAAAAAGAAGGAAGATGACCCAGAGGAGGTTAGCTCAGGTCAGAGAGGCTGCACCTCTCAGAGTCCTGCTGCTAAAACGGGCCTTTCTGATCCCCCCGAGTCCAGCACATCCCAGCTGTCCTCTGCTCCGGTCTACACCGTAGTGGAAGGTGTCGACAGGCAGAACAGCCTCCTACTGACACCAAACCCAACACCAGACCCCAACCCCACCTTCCCGAAGATCACACCGACGCCGGATGGCTACCTGCCTCCCGATCTGCTGGGAAGCATCACGCCCTAAATCAGCAGAGGATAGAGTTACCCAGCAGCCTTTCCTCTGAAAGGGAAGGACAGTTCCAGGAGGTTGACTGCTCAGGGGCCCTGGCTGCATTTCAGCTGGACTAAAATAGCTTCAGGGGGTGAAAGGTAATTTTTTCAACCCTTTTGCTCCTCACGTTATCAGGTCTTCATCTCTGAGGAGGCGAGTAAGAACAGGGAGCAGAGAACCAGCCTGAAAAATGAAAGAGTTCAGAGAAAAACAAATCAGACTAGCATAAATGAAACCTCTGCTAAAGCCGCATGTGTCAGTTCATGTTAGGGCATCAGTGAAAGCACGCGGAGGCGGATGACTCACCCGGCGCACACGGAGAAACCCTGGTTCTGCAGACTTAAAAGGGAACAACAAAAAAAACTCAACGACAATTTTTTTCGCTTCAAAAAGAAATGTTCAACTGATGAAATGATGAAGATGCACTTCTGCTGGATTATAAGGACCTGAGTGGGAAAACGGCCGCATCCATCTACAGTTAATCTGCAGGGAATGATATGACTGTCAGGACAGAAACAGTGCAGCAATAGAAGTTAGTTCTCCCTCTTTCGGTTCCAGGGTTTTATTTATTAGTTCATAACAAAACTTATTAGTTTTCACAGAGTTTAAAAGAACCAAATCTATCCTAAAACAAAAAATCAGACACTTTAACCTGTTTTTTTAAACAGTACACTGCAAAAAACATCTAGAAATAAGTAAAAAATGTCTTAAATTAAGTGTATTTACCCTTAATTTGAGCAGGCAAACAAGATGATTTGCCAATGGAATGAGTATTTTTACTCCTAAAATAAGATAATTAGATAATATACACTTGAAATAAGACAAAGCAATTGTTTTTTCTTATTTTAAGCGTAAATTGTCTTGTTCCATTGGCAAAGTGTCTCACTTACCACCTGAATTCAAGAAAAAATGCACTTAATTTGAGTAAAAATGACTTATTTAGAGTTCCATTTTTTGCAGTGTAGGCATAACTGCTCGCTACCCATTGCAGCTGAACCTTGGGGGCGTCCTAAACAGGTTTCCTTCCACCTCTATAATAATAATTATTACAATAAAATTTAACTTTAATGATCTCACATTGGAGAAACCTACCTCTGCATTTAACCCATCTCCTTGGGGAGCGGTTGGCTGCCATCCTGCGGCGCCCGGGGACCAATCGGGGGTTAAAGGTTTTTCCTCACAGTAGTAATCTGTGGGAGGTGGGCTCGAACCCAGAACCTCAGGATTCCAAGCTATATGCCCTAACCACTATCATGTCCTGTCCTCTGAGAGAGACGGGAATCACTGTGCTTTGGGCACCATGAAGCTAAAGCTAATGTCTAATTTGTGGGATTAGAAGCTATTTCGGGGGGTTTGGATTTCATTTTGTCCTCTCAGTTTTAAAAGACGTGAATGAAAAACTCTTTAAATGATCACTGCAAGTAGCACAAAACAAAGTTATAATATAAGTAAGTCATTGTTAATAAGAAAAAAAAAATTTAGTTAGTTAGTTCTTTCATTAGTTCTGGACTTTGACTAGACCATTCCAGCACTTTGTGGGGATCCTGCAACTCTGAAAAACAACAGAATATTTCAAGGTAGGATCATAATCCTGATGATCCTACTGCACACCTTATCAGGTGTCCTTTCTCCCATGATAAAAATGTTTAAACTGCTTATTTTCTCCATTATTCAGAGTAAATAAAACCGAACCCACCCCCTACATCACATCCACTGCTGAAAAAACAGGGCAGCTCCTCCAGAGGCGTCTGGACACACTGCTCTTATGTAATCAAGCATCCAGGTTAAGGTCAAAAGTTTTTAATGGCTACTCCTTGGATGTTTTTCACCTGGGAATAATCTGATTTTCTTTAAAATTACCTTTAAATAGTAGTTAGGGGTGATGGCAGGCAACAGTAGCATCTCTGTGGTGATTACTGAGGACCATCCGTCTTGGCATTGTTTTAATATAAAACTGGTACAGTGAGTCTAGTTGACACCAGTGGCGGCTGGTGGAGTTTCTCCAGGGGGGGCTATAAATAAAAACAGATGTATAGCAAAAACAATCAATGTATACTATACACCAGTATATTTATATGAATGCCAACAATAAAAAACATTATAAAAACACTTAAATCACACATAATTTCACATACAGGTTTACTTTTTGTACATAAATCTTGCTCATTTGAGGCTTTGTGAAGTCAAATCTGTGTTTTGCATGGTCCAATATTGTGTCACAAACTAAAAAAAAATGTAACAGTTTAATAATGGAAAAGCTATTAGTCAGCTTTATATTTTTAATATTTAAAAACAAATTTTCGAGAATTTCTGAGAAGCAACTATGCAAATTAAAAAACATCCTAAAAAATGCTCTACATCATATTATTTTCCATGTTAGTTCCAGATTGTTTATTCTTATTTGCCTTTTCTAAAAAGTGCTTTAAATCACTCCTAGCTGTTTTTATCTAGCCTCGTGAGACCATCCTGATCTCGCGAGCTTTCAAGGTTTCACTCGCTAATCAGTCTGGAGACTCTCCGTTAAAGGAAATTTGGAGCCGTTCACCAAACGAACGTCCAATCAGCGTTGGCTTTGAGGCGGGTTGAGGTGTGACGCAACGAAAAGCGCGACAGTTCAGTCTAAGGAACATGACGGCTTCAGCCGATGAAACTAGCGTTAGCGTGGCTATCGAGCAAGTTTTATCGGAATTACAGAGTATTTCTTCACTGAAAGAAGAGCAAAACACTGCTCTGGAGGCTTTTCTCAGAGGAAAAGATGTTTTTGCTCTTGTCCCGACTGGTTTCGGCAAGAGTTTTATCTTGTGGTTGTGTTTTCATCGTCGTTCTGTTAGTACGTCATATGCTTCGTTGATCTGATTGGTTTATTTGGCCCGTCTATCACCAACATAGGCCAATCAGCTAACCAGTATTTTCGCCCCTTCCTAAAATTACTTCAACGGAAGGTTTCCAGATGGATATGCGGAGCAAATCCAACTGGCGGAGTCAGGTTAGTGCCGTAGCGCATCTAGCGATCTTTTCCAACCTTAAAGACTCAATCTTTTAAAGTCGTAGGGAAATCATATTTAAATGTAAAAATCATTCTGGCTAAAAAATCTATATTGCGGAGCAAATCCATCTGGTGGAGTCAGGTTAGTTTTTATCCATCCTGGGTCAGATCCTGACGTTTGAAAAAAGAGGCAAGGAAAGCAGAATAAAGCCTCAGCCTCGCTGCAAGCAGTTAGCCAAGCCAATCACCCACAAAACGTCTGCGCTGTGGCGGAGGGTGGTGAACAAATACACTTCCTGTCACATTGGAGCGCAGCTCTCCTATACCTTTGTATTGCAGAGCAGCTTCTGCGCATGTACGACTTTTAACGAGATGGACAAACATTTTTGCGTCCTAGGGCGAAAATACGTCACCAATCTGACGAAAAATGAAATGACACTTTAATTGTCATTTAAGATGAAATTTTTTATCTTGCACATTTAAAAAATAAATATTAATATATTTCGTAATATTTTACATTTTAATTATAAAAAAAATGTCTTAGCGCCCTCTATTGATTAGCCGCCCCTGCTTTACACTTAAAAAAATACAGACCCTAAAAAGGAACTGAAAGATGTGGCAGATGGAGGTTAAATATGCTGCGTTTTAAAACGCAGAGATAAAAGGAAAATTGCATTTTATGTGGTTTTTAATACTGGAGACACTGTCAGATATTAATAAGATGAGATTTTTTTTATGTCCTTCAGGCTCATATAATTGATTCAGGGAAGCCATTTAATGGCTTTAAAGTGATCCGCAATTATCTGTAACAACAAACTAGGGTTACTTAGGGTGTTAATAAAATAAAGTAAAAATACTGTAAACTGTTTAGTTTCAATACAGTATCATGGCCCAGACGTTGCTGTGTTGTTTTACAATGCAATGCATTCTGGGTAAATTTTGCCTGCTAGGTCCAGTAGCGCTAGCTCTGTTCAGTCAAAACTACGATGAGCGACAATAAACCTTTTCAGTTTGAACCAGAGGGAATTGAAATTGATTGTTTGATTGACTTTATTGATCTTACAGTGGAGAAATGTACTTGTTACATCTGCTGAAATGGTCAATAGTGAAAAAAAGGTGCCAAGGAAACAAAAAGGTGCATGGGATATATACAGTTTATACAGTGTGTCCGCATATGGCAGCTTTTTTTAAAGGAAAAATCCAGTCATCAAGGAATGATCAATGGATTATTATTTATTCCTAAAAAGGTCATATGTTTGCGGTGATTGAATGAAGTTAGCGTTAATCAGTAAAAAAAATGAAAACAATATTATTCTTTGCAATCTCTGAGTCCGATAGCGGCCATTTTTGCCCAAATATAGTAACACCTCACTCCTGCCATCTTCCAGCAGTGACGTCACGGTGCGGTAAGCCTAGCGCCATTCTCCCCGCTTTACAAGCAAAATCAATGGGAACTACTAGACACATCTGCAATCAACAACAATTATTGAAGATTTCCAGAGGACTTCACCATTGAAATTCACCAGAGCTATAGTGAAACTGACAATGCCCACGTGCATGGCAGCTGGATGTTTTAAAAGTTGTAAAAGTGAAAAAAAAAAAAAAAATGTTATTTTACCTTTCTGATTCATGATCCTCCATGGAAGGGTTGGTCATTGGATTGCCTTTCCTTTCCTGTTCTACTTACATTGCAGTGTTAATATAATCTGTTATACTCCCTCCATGAATTATAATAAGGATATTTACAGTATATGCATAAATCAAGCTGAACACTATGGTGATAGCCGTACTGCTCCACTTGTGAAAGTAAAATATGTTGGGCTCTTTTTGGCATCAAGATAGTTATTCCGTAAAAATTCAAAAACAATCCACTGGACTTGGTTTCCAAGATTTGAAGACGTTTCGCCACCTCTCCAGGAAGCTTTCTCAATTCAAATGTCTTGATCCGCAGTGAGTTTGAGTCTTTATATAGACAAAGCCTTGTATCGCTTGGAAACATGCAAATGGTAACCCATGAGTGGGTCGTTTGGTTCCATCGTTAGCCTGTAATATCTGAACCTGTCTATGATTCTGAAAGTTGGTCGTTAAAGGGGGGGGATTGCAGGGGGGGGATTGCCGTTAAGGGGGGGATTGTCTCCTGTAATACCTGAACCCTGTCTATGATTGTTAAGACAAGACAATTATTCTTATTGCCACATTGCCAGACAGGACACTGTTAAAAAAAAAAAAAAGTTATTTCACCTTTCTGATTCCTGATTCTCCATGAACGGGTTCATTATGCTGATGAAGATTCTCCGTCATCCAGGTCATAGTCATTCCGTAAAAGTTTAAAAACAATCCACTGGACTTGGTCTTCAAACCTTGGAAACCCAAGTCCAGTGGATTGTTTTTAAATTTTTACGGAACAGGT